GCTCTTCATAGAGTTTGGTCCCACGAACAATGCGCAAGTTCTCCAATGGCAGGTATTCAAACTGATTCAAAGCCACCAAAACATAGCCTGTGACTTCTCGGATAGACTGAAAGACAAAAATTAAACAAACACATTAGAAATGGTCCATTTTCAATTGTTCTGAATTTCTTATACAGTGGATGCTTTAGCATGAGATGCTGGTACCAAAAAAAAAAACAAACCAAAAAACCAAAAAAACCCCACAACACCTTTGGAAAACAAATTCTGTTTCAACTTAACTGCTTTTAACCACATTTCTGAGTTTATCGGAGATACTGGTTGGAAAACTAGAAAATAAAGAGGTACACATTCCTTACAGTTTCATTAAACTTGAGCAGTAATTCACAGTAAGTATTAAAGATGCACAAAAGGATGATTTCGCACAACTCAAAGCAGAGAGCAGGTCAAAGGCCTCTGTGGGACATGAGCAGAATCCACTGGCGCAACGCCACAGTTCAGGTAAGATTGTCGGCAAGTAACTGTTTTAGAGGATATTCCAGGGTGAGACTGAAGGGACACAACATGGGGTAAGACAGACACCTATGGAAAAGCTCACTATCGAACAGGAACAGATGGTAGAACTGGCGGCACAGGTTTGGAAGAGTAAATAAAGGCAAAGCACGGATGTATTAACACCCACTTTTGCACTCCTAAATTAAATCGATCACTGACCTTTTGCAAAGATTTGACTTCCAAGTTTCACTTCGAAGTACTGGAACTATACATGCTACATATACCAGACTTTGATCAAAACTGGTACCAAAACCTTTAGCAAAATGATTGCTACACCTTTGGCGTGGCTGAAATCTTTGTTTGCTTTAGATGGAACTACTCAATAACCCTCCTGCTCATACTCAGGAATTGATTGCCTGGGTTTTCGCCTTTACAGAGAAAACACCCCAAAACCCAGTAACTAGAAACAGGTTTTCAAGGTCCAAAAGCTCAACAGAACTAAGATGTTTTTAGAAAGAAAAAAAGATTTTAAAGTATGCTCTTCTAGAAAGCAGAGTTCATTCTAAGCAATTTAAATTAATGGCCTAGAAATCTGCAAATGCCTTTGAAAACTGTCATTTCAGCACTCACATAGAGGCCCACTGTCCCCAGCAGGCCTTCTTTCACACAGGCTGAGAGACGCTCTTGCCCAGAGCTGCTCCCAGAAACAGGACCTCCTTGCTGGGAAGAGTCTCTCCAATGCAGTTTGCAAATCCCACCTAATTCCATACCTGCAACAGCCTGCAACCACTGTATATGTGTATATTTATGTGTGTATTTATATTTAATGCACAGAAATTGATGTAACTACTTGTGTGCTTAAGTGAATGCATGCACTTTTTTCTTCCCTTTGGCAAAGTCAATACCTTCAACAACACACACAAAGAAAAATTCTGCCTAGAGTAACGTGCACAGACTATACCTAACATGATGGGGACTCCAGTCAATACCATAATAAAAACAAACAGGCAAACAAGAGCAGGCATCAAATAAAATCTGCTGTGTATGTATCATTAATAAAGAAAGGCAACATGGATTTGCAGCACAAAGGACATGCTCTTGCTTTGCTGGTTCAGTGCTGTTGCCATCACTTCATATGTAAGTGTGTAAAAGCCTTTTAATCAGATTTATAAAAGCTTGTATGGTTAATAACAAGTGTTGCAGTATACATAAGGAAGGATTTATATGCCACAAACTCTAGGCACTAGCTGTCCTTCTAAGGGCACATGTCTGTACTCAGCTGAAGTTGCTGAAAAAGCTCTGAAGCTATTTCAAGACTTGCCTGGCATCTAAACAGAGAACCGTGTCATTACAGGACTTTGATGAGAACCCAGTGAGTTGAGCTAGGTTGAGAACTACGGTTCAGTAGCTCAATATTAAATGTAGAGCTGCATTACACCCTGGGACGCTGATTCCATTATAATCAGAGCCTTTCCAGCACTTTCATGATAGCTTCCTTGCTTTCAGACATTTCAGCTTAGCCAGTTTGGTCAGGAACTTGTTTTTCACTGTACGTAAAAATTTCTTTAAGCTAGCTTTTTTATAGCCTTTCTTCAGAATTTAGGAAATATTAAGATTATACTCATGGCTTCAATTTCTCCACTGATATTGCAGGGATACTGTGATTGCTCTCATTAATTTAAAGGGATGTTTAACTTGGAATTTGAATTGTCAAATATAAAAGCAGTTCCAAAACTGCATCTGACCGAGCCCTCCCTGCCAATTTTTGTCACTTACAACCACGTTTTCTATTTTTAGGGTATGTCTTATGTACTGCTGCACAGCAAGTCCACCTGAAAGGGCCCTAATTCAGCAAGGCACTGAAATTACACACATACACACTCAGCAGCAAATCTTCATTCCAAAGTTTAAAAAAAAGAGGAGAAAAGCAAAGTTTTGCTGCTGATTATTGTGAACTGCTGCCCCTATCCCAGAAGCTGGGTACTTTGTTTGGTTTATCTAACTAAAATGACAAACTATGGCAAATATTTTGACAAGAGCTAGAGGGTCCTTTCCAGTCCCATGGCTTCCATCAGTATGGCAACACTTTCTTATTTACTGGAGAAACTGCCATGTTAATCCTTGCAAACGCTTCCTAGTGCCCAGCCTCAACCTCCCCTTGTGCAGCTTTGAACCGTTCCCATGTGTCCTACCAGAACACAGCAACCTGACTGACCAATCTAGTGGTCTGTTGTATTAACATGGGGTTTTATCTTATTTTTTAATTCAAATTTGAATGAAAAATGCAATTACATGTATGGTATGTCTTCTGACTGGAACAGCTTGAAAAAACAAACTGGGAGTGCAGCAGGTAGCTCCGATTTTGGCCATTCCTGGCCAAAGCTGTCACTTTGCCACTCACTGCAAATTTTGACATGATTCTTACTGAAAATGGACACCTGCCTGCTTGGAGCTAACTCCAAGCCCTGTTGGAGTCACCGCAAAGACGTCTGTTGGCTGCTGTGCAGACTCACAAATCCCTACAGCAGACGGGATAAGCCAGACTCATCTCCTCCTCTGCAACTCATGCCAAGGTTAGGCATGATTTGAACCTCTCATCCTTTGTATACAAGGCTGAACGCTTTCACGTTCAGGTATCCTGAACTCTGGTATAAGCTCATGTATCTAATGCTCTGTCTGAGCTGCTTTTGCTTCACCATTAATCTGCGTTCCACCAAGAAGGTGAAGTGACTCACAGCGGTGGTAGTTTTGAGTGTCACCTCCTAGTTTGATTCTCCCTGCTAGGGCTTGAGGTCCTTGCAAAAATACATTTCTCCTTAGGCTGTCCCTCAGGAAAGGCAAAAAGGAGACAAGGATGCAAATAATTGCATTTGGTTCCCATAACCTACAACTGGAATGAAAAGAGGCAGTTTAATCACCAACAGACTTAAAGCTAAAAGTTTCTGATGGGGAAAACCAAGTGAACTCTGGCAACCTCCAGTCTTGCTTGCTGACCCACTGCTATTTTGCGAGACTTGCCCCCCGCCCCCACTACAGCATTAGTTTGACTAGGAATTCCTGGCCAGTGTGGTCTTGCCTTTCCTTGTCACCTTTCCAGCTCTTGAGACGTTGCCTGTTATGGGAAGAAACCATTGAGTGATACAGTGACAGGAACAGCACTCCTATAAACACATTTGGGCCCCGCAAAGTTGCGTGGGTATGGCAGTGGGAATGAGCATAAAGAGTTGAATGAGGAAAGGGCTGAAAATCACAGTCTCCCTGTCACTAAAGGACAAGGGACGCTGTTCATCGAGCCCTCTGAGCAGATGTGCGGCTGTTCGAAAGCAGATGAGGAGACACCTCGGAGGATTCAAGAGCCAAAGGTGTCTGCTCCTCTGACTGGGCCTCTTAGGCATCAGATCCCGAAATAAGAGAGGGATTGCTTCGAGCAGGAAAGGGGGGTGGGGGGAGAAAATTTCTTAATCCTTGACAAATCTAAAGCACCATGAGCTGCTTTAAAACCATGCCAAGCCAAAGGATTCAAGTCTGATATATTTACCAGAGGAAAGCTCTTCATCTACATTCACTTTTGGACAGGAGATGAGTACTTGCGCTCCCCAGCATGCCGTCCCTCAGGCCCAGTGCTGCCCCGCGCCCCAGAAGCAGGCACAGTAGTCCATAAACCAGTCTCCTACCAGCTTTTACGACTCCAACACAGCCCACATTTTGTTTTTAAACCTAAAACCACGTTACCTTTTTATGACAACGGACCCAGTGAAGGCTGTACGTCCCGCGACTCCCTGTGCCGGCAGACGCTGCCCTGCCCCGGGCGGCTGTTGTGCTCCGGGGGCC